TTTTATTTAGAATACTTTTATTTAGCAAGGATGCTTTAAATTGATCAAAAAGATTATAATGTTACAAAAGATTTATATTTCAGATAAATGTTGTTCTTCTGAACTTTCTATTCATCAAAGAATCCTGAAAAAAATCTACTCATTTGTTTTCAACATCATAAATGTTTTTGAGCAGCAAATCAGCATATTAGAATGATTTCTGAAGGATCATGTGACTGGAGTAATGATGCTAAAAATTCAGCTTTGAAATCACAGGAATAAATCACATTTTAAAATATTTTCAAATAGAAAAGTTATTTTAAATAGTAAAATTCAAAATGTTACTGTTTTTGCTGTATTTTTCAAATAAATGCAGGCTTGGTGAGCAGAAGAGAATTCTTTAAAAAACATTCAAAATCTTACTGTTCAAAAACGTTTGACTGGTAGTGTATGTCAGCCTATAGTTTGATATAAGGTTAACATTCATTTATTTGTGCTGGGTTTTTTTTTCTTAAATATTATATAGTTTTATAGGAGGAGGTTTCATAGACTTGGAAAATTCATTTTTCAGAACTTTTCAGGTACAGACATCTGTTGTGGGCGTTCTTGGCAGTTTTTATGAGGCTTTTTTTTAATAGTGTTCATATCGATATCGGAATTATATCGTATCGACCGAAATTAACAAATATATCGCGATATCAATTTTGGCCATATCGTCCAGCCCTACAATACAGATAAACTGTAAAAAAATGTTAAAAACTCTCTAACATCAGCCATTAATGGATAGGGTACCAATATATCTAGTAAAAATGCATGTGCTAATCTCAGAAATGATGCACTTACTTTTCATCCAAATATTTATTTGACACCGATTTAAAAACAGTATTTTGGTACATCATAAAAAGCATTATTAAATGCAGTCATGTTCACAACATCTTGCTGAACTCGGCCACTGGTGATCTATGAAAAGGGTCACATGTCATATTGCACTGTGCCAGTTTTCACATTCAACCAATGGCAATGAATTGTGTACCAAGGGCCCATGTCGTTCATGATCAATAACTGCACTACATTTGACCACAAAAAACATGTAGAAATTCACAACTCTCTCTAGCACCCTAAAGGCAAACAAGAAATGCTGTGCAAAAGGCAGTTTAAAATTCACATGATTTACATTAGCATTTACAAAGGAAGAGAGAAATGTCTGGTGTGGCTGAACTGAATGTCTTTCAGTAGTATCAGCAGTCAGTGTGTATGAGCTCAATGCGGCACTTGTGAAACAGCAGCTGCAAACCAACTGACACGTCATCACTCCTCAGAGTTCAATTGCTTTTACATTTGCAAATATTTACAAATAATAAGCACATTTTGCAAACTTCGAGTGAAACCAATGTATGACCCTGACAAGCCCACTAGAAAGAGACAGACATGGCACTTCACACTTTGATTTAGCTACGTAAAAGAAATTAATTTGAAATAATGACTAGGACATAATCAGCCGTTCCAATTACGCTTGAATAAAGTAATTGTTCAAAATGTAGCACACCACTGACAATGATCTTTCAAACAAAGAGTTAAAACACCATATGTCAAGATGTAAACAGTCTCTTTCCACACACACACACGCGCTGCTCGATCAGTGCTGACCCTAAATCAGCATGAGTGCCGCCCTCAGAGCCCTAGTGTCTCAAGTTTCAAGGAGATGATGCAAGTATTCACTTCCTGTGTCAGAAGCGCTTTCCCTCTGGAGGTGTTGCAACCATCACCTCCTTACCTCCAAAGTCCCAGTAGGCAGTCATGTGGAAGGCCATGTTGGACAGCACCACCAGATACTCACACAAAGCAAACAACGTGTAAACTGCCATAGAGAGACAACAGAAATTACTGAAGTGTGGTAAATCAATGTCATTTAAATGGCAAAATAAATATTTAAATTAAAAGAATAATTCACCCAAAAATAAAAATGTACTCACCCTCAGGCCATCCAGGAAGTAGATGATATAGATGTAGATTTTTATATTCAGAACAGATTTGGTGAAATTTATTATTACATCACTTGCTCACCAATGAGTCCTCTGCAGTGAATGGGTGCCGTCAGAATGAGAGTCCAAACAGCTGATCAAAACATCACAATAATCCACTAGTAATCCACACGACTCCATTCAATCAATTAACATCTTGTGAAGTGTTTGGAATAAACAAATTCATAATTTTAAACTTGCTTTCAGCTAAAATACAAGTCCTCTATCCATAACATTGTTTTCTCCAATGCAAAAAAAAAAAATTGCCTCGTCTGAATCAGAAGAGAAATTTGCACTGATCAACAGGGAATGGACTTTTTCATTGGAGGAGGTATTATTATAGATTATGGACTGGTATTTTCAGAATCAAAGGTTTAAAGTTAAAATGCCTTAAAGTTAAAATCATGAATTTGTTTTTTGCAAACACGCAGCTTTTTAAGATGTTAACTGATAGACTGGAGTCGTGTTGACTACTTGTGGATTATTATGATTTTTTGATCAGCTGTTTGGACTCTCATTCTGACGGCACCCATTCACTGCAGAGGACTCATTTGTGAGCAAGTGATGTAATGCTACATTTCTCCAAATCTGTTCTGATGAAGAAACAAACTCATCTACATCTTGGATGGACTGAGTGTGAGTACACTGTCAGCAATTTTTCATTTTTGGGTACAATATAACAAAAAGGATATTCAATTCCATTTAATAACGGAAAAGGTTAACATAAAGCCTAAAATAGGATAATAATGATTAAAAATATACACTACCATTCAAAAGCTTGGGTTTTATATTTTATTGTATTTTTTAAAAGAAATGAATACCTTTATTCAGCAAGGATGCATTAATTTGATAAAAATTACTTAGAAAACGTCAAATAAATGCTGTTCTTTTGAACTTTATATTCTTCAACGAAACTTGAAAAAATTATCACTGTTTCCACAAAAATATAAAGCAGCACAACAATTTTCAACATTGGTAATAAAAAGAAATGTTTCTTCGGCAGCAAATCAGCTTATTAGAATGATTTCTGAAGGATCATGTGACACTGAAGACTGGAGTAATGATGCTGAAAATTCAGCTTTGCTTCACAGGAATAAATTACATTTTAAAATATATTCAAATATAAAACGGGTACTTTAAATTGTAATCATTTTTCACAATATTACTGTTTTTACTGTATTTTTGAGCAAATAAATGCAGCCTTGGTGAACATAAGTGACTTTCTTTAAACACATATTGAACCCGAAATTAACATCATACTGGTTTGGAACAACATAAAGGTTATTAACTAATCACAATTTTTTGGGTGAACTATCCCTTCCAGAACTTCAAAAACAGGTAATCAATTATAATTGGTAAGAATTTGTGAGTTCATGTTGAGCATGTAAAAATCACCAAAATGGCACATGTGTTGAGTGGAACATGGGTGGGGTGAATGACAGAGAACGGCGAAGACGTTGCACTCACTTCCTGTTTCACAGTAAGTGTTGTGCCGCTTGTAGAAGTATGCAGCCAACAGACAGAAGAAACCGTTGAAGAGGAAGAGGCGGAACTTCTGGCGGTATGACATCATCTCCTGATGTCAAAGTGGGTTTGATGCAGTAAAGAAAGAGAGAAGAAAGAAGAGGAAAAGGAGAAAGAAGACACACAATGTCATCAGTTCTCTTCTGCAACGTGATGTGGGGCAAGCAGGTGGGACGAGGTTCTGTGAGAGCACAGCAACCACTTCCCCCGAAGCACACAAACCCAGCTGCACTTTCACAGCAATAGAAATATAAAGCTCCACTGTGGTCACTGACACGTCAACTCCCATGATTCTCACCCAGCAGCACAAGCAACACCTTTTATTACAGCTGTGCTCGTGGTGTCAAGATCACTGGGGTGTTAAGAATATATCTGAATAATCACTATAAGTGAATGTATCAGCTCAATCTAAAAACGGTCATACATGCTCGTTTCATCCAATCAGAAAAGGATTTGCATGTACGGATTGTTTAAAAGCTAAACTTAAGCTGAAATGACAACCTGTCCAAGTAGGTACTACTTTTGATTTGAAACATACTTTACAACTTTTTAAACAAGTATGTTCTTTATAGTATGAATGAAATCCAGGCATACCACAACTACCATGTTGTTACTGCCATTCAAGTGAAGTATGTATATTTGGATGCAGCATTTGTCTTCCATAAGAGCATTTTTTTTATGCAAATCAACAACTAGTCCAAATAAATTAATAGATACAACATAAAAAATAAATAAAAATAAACACCCAATTCACATTACATTTTTCATGTTTCCAACAGGGCTTACAATATAATTCACTATTTTTGTATTATTTATTCAAATTTAAAACCAGAGCAGGGCAGCTGACAAATTAATTTATAGTTATAGATTTAATGCATATTACATATGAGATTGGCTTATACTGCCCTCTGCTGGTCTGTTTATAACAGTTGTTGGCAAATAAGTACATGCCCAGAATACAGAGAAATCGGTTCAGTTCAATTCATTTTTATTTATTTCACAAAGGCAGTTTGGTTGCAGCATACAAGCATATCATATAAGACAACATATACACACACAACAGAAAACAAACGCACAACCATCCTAAAAAGTATTTACCTTAAAGAGATAGTTCACCCAAAAATGAAAATTTGATGTTTATCTGCTTACCCCCAGGGTATTGGTCAGGACAGACAGTTCGGACATTGCGGTGAAAATCAGAGGTGAAAAACTATATAAATACTGTTCAGTTTTTTGCACAGACCGATCGTTTCGTGTCTTTAAAGATTTCCTTATCAAATAATCGCTGTTCCTTGTAAAATGTATCATGGTTTACACAAAAATATTAAACAGCACAACTGTTTTTCACATTGATAACAATGAGAAATGTTTCTTGAGCAGCAAATCAGCATATTCAAATGATTTCTGAAGGATCATGTGACACTGAAGACTGGAGTGATGACTGCTGTAAATTCAGTTTTGCCATTACAACAATATATTTCATTAAAATACATTAAAATAGAAAACAGTTACTTTAAATTCCAATAATATTACTGCATTTTTGATCAAATAAATGCAGACTAGGTGAGCATAAGAGACTCAAAAAGATAAAAAACAATTTTTTTAAATTGTAGTGTACATCATTGTAGTACAATCAATACTACTATAATGTGTACTTAAAATGATGCTTTATAAACACACTTTTCAATGTAAGTGATAATTCACTTTTTGTATTACAGTAATGAGAGTTTTGGACTACAATACACTACTGAGAACTGGGTGGAGAGAGGGTTTCTTTAAATGAAAAAAAAAAAATCATAATCCCATCATATAATTACAACTGAGGTGTTTAAAAGCTTACTTTTTTGCATCTCCAATCAATTACAAACAAGCTACATTTAACTAACTGATAAAAATATAATAAAAAGCACAATTAAACGATCCAGCAAGAGCCCTCAGCATCCCTGCATTTGCATTCGTGTTCAAACACGACTCAAGGCTTCAGTCCAAAAAGGCACTTACTGTAGGTCTCATTGGAGGAGACGTAGGTGAGCAGAAGCAGCCCTACATTTTCACTTAAAGCTAAGAGGAATGTGAGGCCACTCAAAAGCTGCTCCATCAGCCTCTTGGAAAAGCGTCCGCGGTAAAAGCTCAAATATGCTGCTGCCACCAGGAAGCGCGGGGCAGAATGCAGGCCGATGCTGAAGCGCCAGATGTAGCGCTCTGGTGTCAGACTGATGGCCGCGCTGATGGATGGGAGGTAGTTAGGAACCTGTGAAGGATTTTTAAAAGATCTTCATTACCATGTCACTGCAAGTTTGGCACAGGCAAGTGCAAAGCTGAAGCTTTTCTTCAGAAAACATCTAGTTTGGATTTACTGTTGAGAATGTGCTGGGTGAAACAGGGACGTCCGAAACACTGTTACAAATACAAGCCACTGATCCTTCAGAACTGGGAGCAAAAATAAATAAATTAAATAAAAATATGTATGCATCAAGGAATTATTTTGGATTCATCTGTTAAACATGTTAAGATGTAATAAGATTAATAAAACCAGAAATCTCATTATCCCACAAAATGTGTTTTTCTTTCAATCTGTATAGGTCAAAAATTGACAGATTAAAAAAAAAAAATGTGACAAATGACTATTATAAATATTAACAAATCTAACATGCTTTTCAATTAATTAATTAACTGAGACTACAGAACTGTTTAGACTGATTCCATCTATTGAATAAATTGCCACCAATGTCAAAATATTAGTGTTGACCAAATAACCATATTTTGCACATGCATATCACACATGTATTAACAAATTCCAATCAATTTCTTCACAATTTGCGTAATAAATATCATGGTTGTTGTGACACATAATTGCTTGTAATGAAAAGATTTCTCTTTAAAAATAAATGCGATTATACAGTGGGTACGGAAAGTATTCAGACCCCCTTCAATTTTTCACTCTTTGTTATATTGCAGCCATTTGCTAACACACACACACACACACACACACACACTTAGGACATGGTTTTGGGGTAAGGACAAGACAATGTCATTTCCAGAGGGGATGAGAGTATAGCAGCAACGGTCTGGTTCTCACCTGGCAGTGTGTGTAGGTCGCATCATTGTAGTGGTAGAGGAGAGCCAGCACGATGCAGGCGATGAGGCCGAGCAGAGGCAGACACACTGTGATCACCGCTAACCGGGTGAAAGGCAAACGGATGAGAGGCTTGTCTCGATCCACAGATCCGTACGGGACCTGTTGCATCTTCCCTCAACCAATTACAGCTCCAGGTGTGTCAACAGCTACAGACCGACGACAGGCAGGCCATTGCAAGTGCACTGATGTGATGACAGCGTCTCTAAACTACATGTCTGATAATTAGCCCGAGCTGAAGTTTCGGTATTAACGTGGCTGTGGATAAGGACTCGAGTTACATGCTTAGAGACTGATCGCTCACCGTCGTGAGGTTTAACAGCGGGCGATCTCTACATGAAGCGATATCCAAGCCAGAACCGATAATGAAGTCATTAGTAACTCCACTCGATCAAAACGTTAAGTCTAGATTCTCCGACTGCTATTTTGGATGTGACTACAGTTCGCGATCACTTCCGGTTCCGTGGAGCGTATAGATTTCAAAATAAAAGTCCCTGTACTGCGGGCGCTCCTTTTTTTTTTTAATTGTTTTTATAACATTTTCAATATTTTCTGAAACAATACCGTAACAGAAACGGTAATATATTTGCAAATTACGGACTATTTAAAATACAGATTTTTATATGCAGTCATATCAATTTCTAGACCCAATCCAATGTAAAAAAAGATTTTTATTCAACATACAGTGCTTTTTCTTGTATTTTTCACTGACCACATATATTTAGGGAATGTAGACCATTCCTTGGGGGAAAATTATCTTTACATTGGCTACATTATGTTCCCCTTCCATAGGACTGTGTACAATGAAGCACTGATCCATTCAGGTCCAGTAAATATATAATTCTTGCACCAGAGAAACAAAAAAACTCAGACCATTAGGTTCTCCACATCAAATCCACAGTGATATGACAGTCTTAGTAATGTAACATGAACAAAAACCAACCATACTGACATGATTTAAAAAAAAAATGTACTGCTAACAGACATCCAATCACATCGCTTCAAGTCAGTACATCGAATCACGGGTTGTTTTTGTCAACCTGGTGCATCGCTGTATATTAAAAATGGGCCCTCAGTTTGTGTTAAATACAACCAAATAATTTTCTTTTGAAGAAAAACAAAACATGAGGGACTCATCCACTGCCCTGTCTTTGAAATGACAAAACAAAAAATAGCACTCTCAAAGTTGTAGAGAGGACTAAAGAAAATATCTGCAAAGTCTGCAGACAGGCCAGATTAGTGGGAGTGTGGGAATGTTGTTAAGTATACATGTTAGGGTCTCTTGGCCCAGTCTAGCACAGATGTTCTCCAACTCTCTTCCACAGCGTTCATCATTCCTCCGATTCCCACACTTCCTACAGTAGGAGTCAGTCAGGAGTCACTGTTAAGTATACATGTTAGGGTCTCTTGGCCCAGTCTAGCACAGATGTTCTCCAACTCTCTTCCACAGCGTTCATCATTCCTGCGATTCCCACACTTCCTACAGTAGGAGTCAGTCAGGAGTCACTGTCTGAGCCGTTGCTGCTGTCCCGACTGATCTCAATCTGCAGCGAGGGCAAGTTGTCCAGTCGGCTTTTCTTCATCTTGTTGGACTGCTGCTCCTTCTGCTTGATCATTGCTCCCCACATCTTCTGCAGCTGAGTGTCATCCTCTTCATCGCCATCAACTCCGTCAGATTCCTCGTCATCTCGTCGCCTTATTCCTCTTGAGGAAGATGCTCGGGCAGAAGCCTTGTCCTCTTTTTTGTCGTCCCTATGAGACGGGCCGAGGCGGCTCCACAAGCCTCCTGAATAAAAACAATTACTATTAGTATTAGAAAAAAAAGTGAAGAGAACCAAAAGGGCATTGACTCCAACTATACCTGTTTTCTTGTCTTTCGAGGACTCCGAGTAGAGACCACGGCTCTCGTGTTTTGCCACTCCGAGTCGGCTGCGCACATCAGTCAAAGGCTCTCTCCGAGACACTGCCTTTCTAGAGATGACGGGAGAGACAGAGCGACGTCTCTCCGGAGAGTGTGGTCTTTTGCCTAATCTCTGTCTCACATCTGTGGAGAGAAAATGCGTACTTTCATTGCCCACATTTGCTCAGCACGAAAATGGTCAAACTTAAAGGGATAGTTCACCCAAAAATGAAAATTTGATATTTATCTGCTTACCCCCAGGGCATCCAAGATGTAGGTGACTTTGTTTCTTCAGTAGAACACGTATGATGATTTTTAACTTTAACCGTTGCAGTCTATCAGTCGTATAATGCATGGCAATGGTAACAAAATCTATGAGAGTAAAAAAAACATGCACAGACAAATCCAAATTAAACCCTGCGGCTCGTGACGACACATTGATGTCCTAAGACACGAAACGATCGGTTTGTGCCAGAAACCGAATGGTATTTATATCAGTTTACCTCTAATACACCACTATGTCCAGCTGTCTTTGAGCGTGCGCAGGCATCCGGTGCGTGAGGTATGTACGCGCTCTGGCGTAGTTTACACAAGCGCCGGAAGTGATCTCTCTCGCGTATACGTCACTCATTGTTTACACAGTGCACAGTCATTGTAGGTACGACGGCTAATCAAAATGGTACTTACTTGCGCTTATCCGGATTGTTCAAACCGACTTAAAACTAAAAGATTACGTTCTCTCGCGCGAACTCATTCGGGAGTGGTGACTTTCCACGTATTCCCAACTTCTGAGCCTGCTCGCCTGAAGTTATGGTTGATTGCTCTTCGGCTGGATATCAACACACCCATTAACGTAAACTACGCCAGAGCACGTACACACCTCACGCACCGGATGCCGTGCACGCACCAAAGACAGTTGGACATAGTGGTGTATTAGAGGTAAAAAATGATATAAATACTGTTCGGTTTCTGGCACAAACCTATCGTTTCGTGTCTTAGGACATCAATGTGTCGTCACGAGCCGCAGGGTTTAATTTGGATTTGTCTGTGCATGTTTTTTTTACTCTCATAGATTTTGTTACCATTGCCATGCATTATACGACTGATAGACTGCAACGGTTAAAGTTAAAAATCATCATACGTGTTCTACTGAAGAAACAAAGTCACCTACATCTTGGATGCCCTGGGGGTAAGCAGATAAATATCAAATTTTCATTTTTGGATGAACTATCACTTTAAGCAATCCTGTAGATTTCAATTCAATTAAAAAAAAAATCTAATTTAAGACATTTTTTAAACAAATAAAATTAATATTGTGTCCATACAGAACACACCAATAGAATCTCTAGTAGAATAATCAATGACAAATGATTCATTTGAATGAAATACCCTGGGGCACACATTCGAATGCAAAACAGGGTAACTGCAAGCAGTTTAAAATACATACATATTTTATTCAATACATACATATTTACTGAATTTGGTTTATTTAATAGCATATCAATAAATAAGAATTATAATGGTTTTAAAGAAAGGCAATAAAAAGATTATTGTGCCAAAATGAGTAAAATCTATATCTGAATGTGTTAAATAATGTTTTTAGATTTTCTGTACTATGACAGAGCGGCCCACAGAGAAGCCACAAGATTTGGTGTTGCATTAAATTCCAGATACAGTTTGTGTAACCAAAATACCAATAATATCAAGGAAAAATGTTTTATGCATAATGCAGACTTTTAATTATAATCAAGCCCAAAATTCACTGGGACTCTTATTTTGAAATGTTTATGCTTGACTACTTCCAGCAGCTTATTCAAAGAGATGGAGATAAAAATATGCACTCTTACAACCATCTACAACATATTACAATATAAACACCATAAAGTAAACACTGTCATAAATCATCAACAGTAGATCATAAGCAATCTATTGGCATAAATGTGCAGTATTCATTGATTGTGAACAATTCCAAAATTTAAGATAATTAAGACTTTTGTCATACCATTTAAAATGTCTAATATTTTTTAATGACCTTAAACTTGGTCAAACAAAATTTAAGACTTTTGAAAAGACCTGCAGGAAACCTCAACCTGGGGGCCAGGGATCACTAGGGGGTGCCTCAGGATGGCAAAGTATTTAAATAAACAATTATTATTAATATATTAAGATAATCAAACTATTAAATCAAGATTTTTGTTCCATCAATAACTAACCCGTCTTGCCACTTGTAGTCACTGGTGGGCATGATCTCTGCTGAGAGAGTCCCTGCCTCTTCTCCTCCAGTAACTGTCTCACATCTGTCACTTTGTCTGATGTAGCCTTGGACGAGCCGCCTCCTTCTCCTCCACCACCAATGCGACTCTTAACACTGCTACTTGTTTCAGTCTTTATAGAGTTTCTAAGGCAGTAGAAAGGGCCAAAATGCACAATTACCATTAAGAAACTTGATCATCATGAAATCTTTTCAGCATGAGGGTCACATTTACATCCAAATAGTAGGGAATGAAATGCAAATCCTAAAGTGTAGCAACCGCTCTATCATTTGGAGTCAAAAAGAAACCTGCACTCACCGAAGACTGCGAAGGTTGGTTTCTACCTCGTCGGCATACATGGTCATCTTCATGCTCTTTTTGGGAGAGGGCGTTGAGATCATTTTCAGTTCCAGATCGTAGTCCATCTCATCTGAATCTGAAGATGCAGGTGATGGGCCTCCTAAGCGACTACGCAGGCCTCCTTCCCCGAGCCGTGGCCCCCGTTCCCTGTCTCCCCGATCTCTGTACTCCACTACTCTATCGTCAGCATCCATGTCTTCCTCTCCATCCTCCTCTTCTTCCTCCTCTTCTTCTATAGGCTCTTCTGGCAGATTCACCAGGTCAGCTGAGAGAAGCAAAAGAGCTCAAAGTGACAGACCAAAAACATCTAACAAGTAGGGTTGTGACGGTGAGGAAATTTTCCCACCGGTTAATCGACGTGTGACAACACCAGTAATACCGGTATCACCGTGGGGGCGGGGACGTTCCCTCTTTTCCTAGCTTTCCTTCGCTTTTAAATAGCTTGTAAAAGCGGCGTGCACATTTTACTTTCACTTTGAAATAGCGGCAATTCGGCGTAAAGCAATTGTTCGTTTGGGCAGGCTATGCCTAATATAAAATAACAAATAACTTACATAAAGTTTAAATAGGTATACAAAACTGGAAATAGGCTAAGTAAACATGTATAATATATAACCAAATAAATAAGAAACGTTTATTAGCAAAACGAGTAAGAAAGCTTGGAGGCAGGGCATACACCTTGATGTCAAATAAAATAAATAAATGACACAAAGTTTAAATAAAGTAAAAAGCAGCAAACACTGTGAAACCAATTAAGGTAACCAATTAATAAGAAACGAATGAAAACTTCCAAAATCACCTTAGATAAACGGCAAAAGTCAACAGGCTTTTCAAAATCCAAAATCCAAACAAACAGGCGTTCGGCATGCTGCATTGAGCAGCCGCATTCAGTTTTTAATTGTAGTGTCTGTTCTTTTACTGAACTAAATG